CTGTAAGAAGTCTTAAATATTTCACAAGCCTCCACTCCACTCTGAGTTTTACGTGTTCTTTCACATTATGCTGTCAGATATGTGCATAGAAAATCAGATCAATGTTCTTGAACTATGTAGCTATAGTGTACTCATTGAAACTGCATTTGTTGATCATTTTTAAGTGGCACTTCACCAATGTTGCAAAGTCAATTTACTAGAGGACTACTTCTCAGCCTGTGGAGAGGGTTGGAGCATGTCTCCTGTGGCTCTGGATGACCAAACCTAAACAACTAACCCTGATTGTGTCACCAGAGTCATCTACAGTGGGTACGGAAAGTATTCAGACCCCTTTAAAATTTTCACTCTTTGTTTCATTGCAGCCATTTGCTAAAATCAAAAAAGTTCATTTTATTTCTCATTAATGTACACTCAGCACCCCATCTTGACAGAAAAAAACCAGAAATGTAGAAATTTTTGCAAATTTATTAAAAATAAAAACTGAAATATCACATGGTCATAAGTATTCAGACCCTTTGCTGTGACACTCATATTTAACTCACATGCTGTCCATTTCTTCTGATCCTCCTTGAGATGGTTCTACTCCTTCATTGGAGTCCAGCTGTGTGTAATTAAACTGATTGGACTTGATTAGGAAAGGCACACACCTGTCTATATAAGACCTTACAGCTCACAGTGCATGTCAGAGCAAATGAGAATCATGAGGTCGAAGGAACTGCCCAAGGAGCTCAGAGACAGAATTGTGGCAAGGCACAGATCTGGCCAAGGTTACAAAAGAATTTCTGCAGCACTCAAGGTTCCTAAGAGCACAGTGGCCTCCATAATCCTTAAATGGAAGAAGTTTGGGACGACCAGAACTCTTCCTAGACCTGGCCGTCCAGCCAAACTGAGCAATCGTGGAAGAAGAGCCTTGGTGAGAGAGGTAAAGAAGAACCCAAAGATCACTGTGGCTGAGCTCCAGAGATGCAGTAGGGAGATGGGAGAAAGTTCCACAAAGTCAACTATCACTGCAGCCCTCCACCAGTCGGGGCTTTATGGCAGAGTGGCCCGACGGAAGCCTCTCCTCAGTGCAAGACATATGAAAGCCCGCATAGAGTTTGCCAAAAAACACATGAAGGACTCCCAGACTATGAGAAATAAGATTCTCTGGTCTGATGAGACCAAGATTGAACTTTTTGGCGTTAATTCTAGGCGGTATGTGTGGAGAAAACCAGGCACTGCTCATCACCTGCCCAATACAATCCCAACAGTGAAACATGGTGGTGGCAGCATCATGCTATGGGGGTGTTTCTCAGCTGCAGGGACAGGACGACTGGTTGCAATTGAAGGAAAGATGAATGCGGCCAAGTACAGAGACATCCTGGAAGAAAACCTCTTCCAGAGTGCTCTGGACCTCAGACTGGGCCGAAGGTTCACCTTCCAACAAGACAATGACCCCAAGCACACAGCTAAAATAACAAAGGAGTGGCTTCGGAACAACTCTGTGACCATTCTTGACTGGCCCAGCCAGAGCCCTGACCGAAACCCAATTGAGCATCTCTGGAGAGACCTGAAAATGGCTGTCCACCAACGTTCACCATCCAACCTGACGGAAGTGGAGAGGATCTGCAAGGAAGAATGGCAGAGGATCCCCAAATCCAGGTGTGAAAAGGTTGTTGCATCATTCCCAAGAAGACTCATGGCTGTACTAGCTCAAAAGGGTGCTTCTACTCAATACTGAGCAAAGGGTCTGAATACTTATGACCATGTGATATTTCAGTTTTTCTTTTTTAATAGATTTGCAAAAATTTCTACATTTCTGTTTTTTTTCCTGTCAAGATGGGGTGCTGAGTGTACATTAATGAGAAATAAAATGAACTTTTTTGATTTTAGCAAATGGCTGCAATGAAACAGAGTGAAAAAATTAAAGGGGTCTGAATACTTTCCGTACCCACTGTAGGTGGGACTTGGAGACTACAGTTTTTTTTGTTATTAACTGGGGGTTGTGAGTGTTTTTTGTAGTTTGAACCACTACTTATTCTTTAAAGCTGTTTCAAGCAAGTCACCCACATTTTTGGAAGTGCAAAGTTCCGTTAAGTTGTTTTCCTTCAGTATTTAAGATCATGTTATAGGATGTCGTATGAAAAAGAGATTATTAATTATAAGGGAATATTACTTATTTTACTTCATCAATCTGAGTTATACATATGCATTGGTGATCAGAAACATCACCTTTGCCGTAATAGAAAAAATTGGACACATACAAATTCACCCTTTACTGTTTTTTTTTCTACATAAGACGGATGGTGCCCCCTGCAGGAAGAACGTCTCTTGCAACTGCTGTTTATGATGAATCCTGAGACAATGACGATGTTGGGTCCAGAGTACATCCCTTCACTTATCACCATCATGTCTGCACCAAAAGATCGAGTTATGTATCGTATTAACCCACAAACCAAACCCATAATAACAGTGTAGTGAGAGCACAGAAAGTAGGCTTTATGTGTAAAGAATCCCAGAGAGAACGCTCATATTTCCAGCCGTGGTGAAATGCAGATTGATACTGTAGTCATAACAAAGCCGGAACAAGTCTGACACGGCATAATAAAAGGGCTATGATCATTTGTACTGCAGACATGCCGTCTCGTCCACACACCGATGGATGGCTTGAATCTGTCTAATGTATCAGTGGATGTGTTGAACACAATAAGACCGTGACTACCTGCAGTACTGCTGCCCTGCTGATGCAGAAAACGGACAAATACAAGTCGCTGTCCTAAAGACAACAGTGACCCCACAAGGGAAGGAAACTTTACTCTGCTTTCTGCTGAGAGTGATTTGGCCGAGTGTGTACTTAAAAACTCATCAGTGTATTCATAAGGGTTAGATTTTCAGTGAGTGTCAGGGGATGTTTCATACCAAATTTAGAACAAAAACATGGTCCAACAGATCAAGTTCTGTTCATGACGCCTCCAAAGAAATTCAGTAATAAAATAACAGTTGTTTGCCTGTGAGGGGTCTATGAGGTTGTTTTCAATGGGCCTGTGAACACTGACAACCTTTGACTCATTTTACTGATCACTAAATACAAGACAGTTGTACCATTACATTACATTACAGTCATTTAGCAGACACTTTTATCCAAAGCGACTTACAATAAGTAAATAATACCATATTTTCAGGATTTACTTTAAGGAATCACTTCATTTTTTTCTCTCATACACACTCATACAGTTCTTACAGTGGGAAAGAACAATAACATTTCGGTCCTTTTTCTCTTGATGAAACAAGAATTGTATTCACATATTGTACAGGTAGGTCGACAACAGTTGAAGCTACATTATATGAATATGGTCAGAGTATAGGTACATTTACAATTCAACTCTGGCTTCCTCACCATCCTCATCCTCCTTGACCTCAGCGCCGCCTTCGACACCATCAAACACTCCATCCTCCTCTCACGTCTCCAGTACTCCCTTGGCACAACTGGTGCTGCCCTCTCCTGGTTCACCTCATATCTCTCAGACCGACATCAATTCAATTGTCATTGCTGATTATTGAAATTCTTCTACTTTTACTTCACATCTCACTCCACATTACTTTGTTGTTTTAATGTTGATATAAAAGTACAGTGAGCTTATATCGTCTTTGAGCTTAAAGTTTCATGATTTACCTTAGAAATAGTAATTAAATATACGATGCTTCTGCTCTAACACCATCTGATATTCAGATTGTAGTCCCAATTTGCTACATCAGAAATAATAAAAATAAAGCTGCTTACATAGCTGGGTGGCCCGTGTGAGCCTTTCGTGGATGTTTGGGCCCCACTGAATCGCTCCAGGCCGCCGCTCTGCACTGCACTCATACACCGGTTCCCCCTCAGATAAACACTGTAAGCTCTGTCAGCACCTTTGTTGTAGTTTGTACTGTTTGCTCTGTTATCGCTGTTAAATATGAGCTGCCAACTCAGGTGCTGCCATGTTGAGAGCCAATCAAAATGTTTCCTATCTCGTGTTATGCACCTTTAATTTAGTCTGAGTGGAAAACCGTTAATATACAAGAAAAAGTAACCTATGGCATGTAGGTGGCACTACAGGCTCCATCACGTGAAGCTATAAAAAAAAGTTCAAATGTAAAGTTATAAAAGAAGTTAAAGATTACACAAACAGTGATATAATCCAACCCTTGTAAAGGAGGCAGTTAAGAACCAGCTCATTTGTTGTCAAGACCTATACCTCTAACTACACAGTATTTACATCCAGTTGACAGAGATCGGGTGCTTATAGAACAATGTCTGCACTGCTAAGCTCCTGTGCTCACAAACTCAGATATGTGGAAGGACTCCAACATAAGGCTTGGAAGATATGCAGCACAAGTTTGCTCCCGTGGTGTCGGTAAGTTTATGCTCATGTTCAGTGGTCAAATGGCAACATGGTGTCACGCAAAAATGTATTGAAGTTAGTGTTCCCTTAATGGTTCATTGTAAAATGAAATTCTCTCTCTCTGTGTATATATATATATATAAAAACATATGTATATATATAAAAATGGATGAAGCAAAACTTTCTCCAACTCAATAGAGATAAGACTGAGATAAATGTCTGTGTAGCACACACAAAGAGACAGAATATCAGCTCTCACCGGACTAGGAAATACAACATCACACCAGTCCTGAAATACTGCAGTCTGTCAGAGAATTGACTTCAAAAATCTTGCTTTTACATTTATAAATGTGGGAGTATTTGCGGTGTTTTGTATCTTTTAATTTTTACTTGATGTAAATTGTACTAGTTTACTTTAAATTGTGTATCTCGTGTATCACTTGCTGGAACTTTTGCACTTTTTATCTGCAGTACATTTTGGCGTTGAAATCATAGACCATGTACTATATTTGACCCCTGTGCTTTTTCCCTAAATCGTTGTATGCCAGATCCCTCCATGTGGACAGT